GAACACATTATGCGAAGCAAAATATGGCAGACATGAGAGGCCAACTCTGTATGTTTCCAGCTACACGAGGCACCTGGCGACGTCAAATTCATGGAGAAGATGTAGAACGGTGGTCGCCAGGGCTGGGGAAATTCTGGAGGTGGAGGGTGGTGATGGTTGCACAACCACATGCGTGTACTTAATTCTACTAAATGGCACACGAAAAATGGTTAAAATGGTCAATTTTATGTTAAGTATATTTTACCACTAAAAAATTATTTTAAAAAATTATTTTAAAAATTGCTAACACTGTTCTAAGTGCCAGGTGCTTCTCTAAGGCTTCACTAGAATCCACTCATTTCTCCTCATGACTTGTCTTAATTCTCATTGTCCCTGCTGTAGGGATTAGCAAATTGAGGCATAGAGAAATGACACACTTTACCCAACCCCACAGAAATAGTATGTGGTGGAGCTGGGGTTTGAACCCAGGCTTCAGGGCCTGAGTCCGTGTTCTTAACTACTAACTTACATGGCCTTTCTGTATTTACAAAAAGCAGAATTGATTATGTCAGACCCCTGATCAAAGGCCTTCAGAGGAATAAAGGATTGAGAATGAAAAAAGTATCTCTGTGACCACTTCCACCCAGTGGTCCGACGTCTTGCCTTGTTACTGCTTCCTGTGTTCTGTTCATGGCTTTTCTTAAAATGCTGTGCTGTGAGGCCTTCAAGCCATTGTGCACATTGCTGTTTCTGTTCCGAACATCATCACCTCTGCGATCCTCGTCTCCACTCACATATTCCAAAGGCTTCTAACCCTCCATTCGTCCCCACCCTGTCACTTTGCCAGTCTTACTTAGTTAGGGTGTTTTTGCATGATCTTTGGGACCTCTTTCACAACCCTATCATCCTGTGTTACCTGCACTGTCTCAGCACTGACCTGGTCTCTTTCCACCACTGGGATCTAAACTTGAGTGTATGAGTCCATTTTCTGTTGCTTATAACATCAAACCTGAAACTGATAATGTATAAAGAAATAAAATTTATTTCTTACAGTTTTGGAGGCTGGGAAGTCCACACTCATGTTGTGGGCACATCTGATGAGGGCCTCGGTGGTGACGTTGCAGCGATGCAGAGTGTCACATGGTGGGAATGGCTGAGCAAGAGAGAGCTAACCTGCTCACTCACTCTCCTCGTAAAGCCCTCAGAACCAAGCCCATTACCACCCATTAAGTCATCGACTTATTACTCCATGAATGGATCGATCCATTCACTAGGGCATGATCCTCACAGTCTAATCATCTCTTCAAGACCCCACCTTTCAATTACTCGAATAGGATTTCCCACCCTCAACATTGTTAGAGTGGGGATTCATACATGAACTTTGGGGGACACATTCAACCCATAGCATTGAGTGAGCGACTATGGTATTGTATTCTCAGTGTCAAGCATGGTAAATATTTTACACACACACACACATACTGTAATAAAACAGATTCCAGGCAGAAAGAGCCACATGACTGACAGTAGGCCCAGCACTGTAAAACATCACTCTCCTAGAGGAACTGCAAGCAACTTGACATCCTGGACTACTGGTGTTGGGTCTAAAAGCTGCGTAAAATACAGAACACATGGAGCCAGATGAAATGCACAGGTGGATTAGCAGAAAATCCATTTCTAAGACAGTAGAGAACAAAGCGAAGTATTAAACTTCTCTATCTCATTGTAAGGATTCCCGCATTCAAATGTTTTATGTCATTTTTCTTTAAAAAAGGAAGTTCATATTATAATGTATGCTTTTCTGTTTCTCTTTCTAAGACTAACAAAATTTCTCAGTACTAATGTATTTTCTTAATTAGAAGTTCAGGACAGCTGGATGATAACGTGAAGAATATAACACCTCAGGCAGCCTCCAGCTTCCCTCACGGACCAGCTGGCTTCTTATCTGTGACTTTTACCACCACCTAGTGGTGCTCTGGAGCATCACCACGTCCTTTGGTTATGAGCTAAACAAGAACCTGGGGCAGCTGCTTTGTGTAAGACATAATGGAGA